ATAATGTGTGTGTGTGAAATAAATAAATGATTATATTTTTTTAACATATAATAATTTCTAATAACCTACTTCTAAACAACATTTTTGTGTACCATGGGACTTAGATTCTCAACCCTTTAAGAGAATTCAACCATCTAATACTATCTAATACTGGTAGGGCAATGGCCCTATATAAATATATAATTACATAGTGAGTGAAAAATATGTGGTTGGTAAAACCCTAAATAAGCCGTATACTTAAATGATAATAAATTTGTAAAAAAAAGTTCAAATTGTATAAAATTCAGAAATAACGTTCTATTAAGTTAGAGAAGTGAGGTACTTCGTCAAATGTGAACATAACCAATATTCCTAGTTACTTCTACTTTTATAGACCCCATCAGTACCAAATTAGTTGTTAATATGAAAATTATAACAAGATTCCCAGATAATATTGCAAAATCGTGTACATCATATATTCTAGACCGATTGATTGGAGATTCGTAGTTTTGATGACTCCTTTACTCTTTTGTCACGATAAATCTAATATTATTTCTTCTGATTCGGATTTGTAGGGCTTGACTAAACGCTTTAAGTTGTTAAGCAAGGAACTTGATGAAATTTTGGAGACATTGATAAATGAGCATGAAGAACACATACTTATTAAATCTCAAAGTCATGAAGAAATGGATTTTATCGACATATTGCTTTCACTAAAGCACCGGTATTCAAATACCCATGATGGCCTATCCTTTACAATTGATAGGTCTGGTATGAAATGCATTTTAGTGGATTTGATAGCTGGCTCCATTGATACCATAAAAACTTCTGTTGAATGGATTTTAGCTGCACTTATAAAACACCCTAGAGTGATGAAGAAACTACAACAAGAGTTGAAAGTTGTGATTGGAGATAAACATGTGGTTGAAGAAACAGATTTGCCAAACTTAAGTTACTTGCACATGGTAGTTAAGGAGACTTTAAGGCTTTATCCTATTGCTCCACTATTAGTTCCACATCAATCAATGGAGGATATTGTGATTAATGGTTACAATATACCCAAGAATACACGACTTCTTGTAAATTATTGGGCATTTGGACGTGACTCAAAAGTTTGGTCTGAAAATTGGGAGGAGTTTCTTCCAGAGAGGTTTTTAGACACAGAAGTCGATTTTCGTGGACATGATTATCAACTTATACAATTTGGAATTGGTAGAAGAGGATGTCCTGGAATGAATTTAGGATTACTAAACACTGGCTTGGTGGTTTCCAACATGGTACATTTCTTTGATTGGGAGCTACCGAGTGGGATGTCATCAAGTGACCTGGATATGAAAGAAAAATTTGGATTAACTACCCCCAGGGCTAAACCCTTATTAGCTAATCCTATATACCAAAACTGAGGAAGAGGGACTCAACATTTGTTAAAGATATATGACAGACACCACTTGAGCATGATGCAACCTTACCATATCATTTATAATATTTCATGTGTGTATTTATGTAAAGTTTGTTATTTTTTTCTGTCCATGAAAAAGCACAAGTTAACTAATGTCTTGGTTCATCGAAAATTGTACTGTGTTTTGAAATGGAACCGTTGTTCCAAAGAGTTGTTTGATTGTATGCATAATGGAACTATCGTGTAGGTTTCAAGCAAACAATTGACATGACCGTGAGGGTGTATCAGGAGGAGAAGTGAGAGTAGATTGTGTGCGAACAAATTTAGCTAGAACTGTATGTTTATCAAGAATCACAAACTAAATCGAATGATTACAATAAAAATTAGAACCTCTAGCCTTCGAGATGCTAGTATCACCCAGAGCTCTCGCTCTAACTGAAAATCAGTTACATTCAAAGCATAACCTACTAATTGAATGACCTCTTAATTATAACATGGTTGACTCACATAACGACTAAAAGACTACAATAACATGAAACAACTATCCTTATAACAAACAGAGCAAGACTTCATCTTTTAATCCGTTCGTTCTGTTTGAAAAGTGAATCACGAAGGTGGTTTATTCAAGTGTATACCCATACCCATATGAAAAGATCACACCTTGTTCTCAAGAGTGCAATCTGGAAATTATATCATAATTTATTTAAAGTCTTCCCATGAGGCTTTAAAGACAGAAATGTCTTTTCATTTAATCAACTACTCTAACTTGCCGACCCAACCTTCCAAAAGGTTAACGAATGTCTAAAATGTCCTCTAGGATAGCCAAAAATTCCAAAATGTCTTTTAAGTGAGAAGGTATAAATGGTCATGAAGAGCACTTTCTGATAGCTTTTCTTGATTGAGAGATGTAAAAATCAACATGCATCATAGCATTTGCAGGAAACTGGGAGCGGTAAAGGTAAAGGTGCAATTAGTTACGAAAAAATCGACGATTTTTCTGGGAACATTTTTCCAAGAAAATTAAGAATTTTGAAAACACATTTAGTTTAACAATTTTTCTGAATTTGTTACCGAAAATAAAAACTTTATGCTTTCCAAAATTACAAACAACTTAGAAAATTTTAGAGACCGATAATTATTATTTTCCAGATTTTTCTAATTACAAGAAATTTCTAAAATATAAACACACACCCACCATCGTCACCACCACCACCATCCTGTTGCCGCCATCACCACCACTACCACCGTCACCATCATCCACATTAATTATTGTAAACAAAAACGAAAACGAAAACTGAAAACGGAAAACATAAAACAGAAAATGAAAAATGTTTTTCCGTAACTACATGCAACCTAAGTGACTTGTCCAACCTAAGTTACTTGTAACTTAAATACCTCTCTCCAAAAGTTACTCACAAAAATCCAATTTGGATATGCAATTACTACTCCGGTATGCCATGTATCTTGAATTATTTCTTTAGCAAATACACATGTCGGCGATTGAGGTGTGTTACTATGTAGGAATGTTTAAGGCCTAAAATGTATGTGTATTTGTTGAGATAATCAACCACGATAAATATAGAATTCATACCATTCGAATTGTGGAGAACTTCAATGAAGACCATAGTGATTTGTTTTCCTACCTTTTTACACCTATACCGACGTGATTTTCTTTTTATTACAAAGCCCTTTGTTATCATTCTAACACACATATATTTTTCAATTATGTTATTGTTTAACTTTTAATAACAAATATTAAATTAAAACATGAACATAAAATAATTAGACACAATAATGAAACATATTTTTGTCTATCATAGTTATTTTTACCTTTTAGCCGCATAAACTTGTTTTCACCTGAACATTTGCTATCTTTCTTAAACACGTATATCATTCAATGTGGCTATTAGTTATATTTTGGACATTGAGGATTAATTAAACTGTGGCCATACATATTTTATGGACACAAAATTTCATCAGTCGTCGTGATTGACGTTAATTTACTCTCTAGCCACATGAATTTTCTATTACGTATACCATGACGTTTGTTTTCATTCCAACACATAATTATTTCTTATAGTGACTGTTATATATCTTTTAGTGACAATAATCTTTTAAACTGGCTATTATTTAATTACAATGGTTTTATATTATTGGAAAAAATCAAATTTACATAAATATATATAAATTTCTTGCAATATGTAAATAAAAATTAAAACTATAAATTTTCATATAAAATCTAAAAGTATAATTTAATGCATGTACTAAACTATAAATTCCAGAAATGCTAATTTCTAATTTAATAATGTAGATTGTTAGCATTTTTTTCGTCACGTCTTATGCTTCTATGTCTTTTATTTCTCTATATGGGTTTGTTCTTTGGACACATAAAATTAGAAAATTAAGACTTTGAACAACTTCATAATGAATTTTTCATTTTCCAAATATAAAGTACTTGGAGCGACATTTTAATACAATGATGAAATATATTTGAAGAATGCTATTACTAACTAAAACTCAAACAAGTTTTTAGATCTAAAGTCATTTGCACGATTCCTTTACTAGAAAAAATTAAATCAAACGTGCAATGTTATGATAAAAACAAGTAAAACTAAGATTCTGTAAGCCTATAATACATAAATATGTGCAATTACATAGCTATTTCTTACATTACCTGCTACAACTCCAACATCTCTTGGCAAGATCTGAAAACACTTAAAGAGAGAAACTATATGAAAAAACTTACTTGGCCTTCGAATGTAATCATACCATACGGAAACTGTCATAATTCCCGGTGCCAGGCCTCCCGTGTCACCTCCCAAATCCCAAGCCAACAATAATATGTTCCAATTGATTCTAGTTGGGTTGTAAGAGTGATAGATGTCATTTGATGCATCTTTTAGGGTAGTTTTTATTAGCATTTAACATTATAATTTGCACATTTCCATGTCATTAGTTTAAATAATGTTCAGCTCATCTCTTTCGTCAGAATTTCCGTACTGCTCATGCTTTTATGTTGTTTTCAGATCATTTGAGTAGAGCGGTACTTTGGGAGCAGCTTGGATGCATATTTGGAGCTTAAATGGAGTTGGAACTGAAGAACGATGCTGATGAATGACGTGGATTGCTTAAACTGAAGGATTACGACCGAATCGCTACGATAATAGAAAAATGTGATCGCATTTTCTCAAATATGCGATCACATTTTATGGTCGAGGTTTTGTAGGGTCAAAAATACCAATTTGAAGAAAAAAAGGCAAAAAAGCGATCGCATTTCCTATATATGCGATCGCATTTTCATGTCGAAGTCTCAAAATGGTCAAAAATAGCATCACACTTCATTAAACGCCAATTCGGGAGAAAATGGCCAAAAATGAGATCACATTTTTGGATATATGCGATCGTGGAATTGCTTTTCTTGCTCCGGAAGCATCTAACTTGCATATAAATATGACCCCTCTGATCAGATACGATGTCAGACGATGAAAAACCCTTCTCAAGGCGATTTCTTTTACTTTTCATCACTTTCTGAATATCAAAAGGCTGTGAATCATCTCCTACATTTAGTTTAGCAAGATTAATCAATTAATATCTCTTTTTATTAGTTTTAATCGAATTTTAGCCATGTCTGGCTAAAAACCTACTTTTTAGTTCTGCAAAAGACTAGTACTCCTCATGTGATGAGTTATCATATTTGGTTTTCATTATGTGCTTGTATCTAGTTGTTTTAGTTTTGAGCTTAATGTATGTTTGATTTTTAATTCTTGTTAGTTTGATCACCTAACTAGGGTTTAATCATTCCAGTTAATCAATTAATAGAATCCGTAATTGTTTTTTGTCAACTGGTAATAAGTAAAAAGTATCAGATTGGTTCCGTGTTGGGATTTAAATCTTATATAAACTCAAATTTCATACCTTTGTGCTTCCAAGATTGTGACAAAATATTGGGTATTGTTGGGAATTTTACAAAGATCTTAATGCAACTTTTCTGATTCGAATTAAGAGTTTGTTTAATTAGACAGTAAAAAGTTAGGGTTAACTGAAGAGCTTGTTTTGGTTAATTTAACTAGATAAAAGAGATTATACTAGAGCTTTTTAGTTTTTCTCAGTACCAGCGTAGATAGAACGCATTTTGAATAACCAGATATGTGCTGATAGCATGATTAGGAAAGTCGCAACAGAACTGAATTCGTTTTTGTTACTGATTTCATTTAATTAATTTCACTACAATATTTAGTTTTAGTTTTAAATCAAAAAACACATTTGATTATTTTTTGTTAAATAACTAGTATATGCCTTACGCAAAGAGACATTGACCATTAGGCTGTGTCTCTAAGGATTCGACCCTGCTTCTCTGTACTATCCTTTAGTGCAACCACGCAGTGAAAATATTATTTGCTTAAATCATACGCGACAACGGTTTAACAAATTGGTGCCGTTTCCGGGGACACGGTGCTTCTAATAGTTTGTATGCTAAGAACTTTTCATACAGGTACACCTCTAGTTTTTTATCTATAAGTTGATAAAGCTGTAAGAAAACGGAAGAAAGAAGCATCGAAACAAAAACAATCAGTTGGTTTCTTTGGTTCATCATCTTCCTTACCTCCAGTCATCACCACACCCTAAGGTAGTCCTTTGTGGAACGAACCAGACCCAACTTTTCCATCTTTTCCGTAAGTACCCCCACCCCCACCTTCCCAAAGCCCCAGTAAAAACATACTCCCCACCAAATTCGGAAAATTCTGAAACCACGGCTCGTCTGAAACTGAATCTGAAATTTCAGCCATGAGTGGAAACAAAGCAGAGAAAACTCTCAGAGAATGAGTAGCATAAAAGGTTAATCAGCAACTTCTTTGCATCACTTTTCCAGAAGCACAAAACTTCGAGCTGAAATTTGGGCTGATACATCTTCTTCATACGTTCAGGGGCTTAGGAAACAAAGACCCACATAAATTCCTTGAGGAAATTCATGTGGTATGTTTTGGAATGAAGCCACATGCCATT